CAAGCATATCAGACAGGGGATGCAGCACACAGAAAAATGACGAAGAAGACGACGCAAACGACTCAAGCATAGAGAAGTTGACAACAGGACGACACGGAGGGTAGGAGAGAGAAGGACAGAAGGCAGTATTCCCGAACGCGAGTGGTTTTAGAAAAAATAAGAGTGAAACACAACAATGGAAACAAATTTCCCATACGGCGTTGAGACCCGACCGATTTCGCCTAGCCGCCAACTAGGACTCATCAGGGGTCTGAGTCGGCTGATGAATAACTGCCTAAGGACCCTATATATATGTAAAAAGGAGAAGTAACACACCGGCCGATCCTATGACGTATTCTCAAGACAGTCGCGAAAATTTCCCAAATCCTCAAAAGAAACCTCACCTGGTCAACCTTTAGCACGGATACGTCCCAGTTCACGCAGCATCAGAGAACAGAATAAGCCTCGAAACCTTCAGAAGTAACATCAATGGTCCAAGCACCAACCTGAAGGATTTCCGACTATAGTACGGTTACGAATCGATGTCGCAAAAAAAGAGACCAGGTTCAAAAAAAGTAAAAAGCAACAAAACTATCTAGCAAAGGTCAGGGGTTCAAACCTTGTGATATCACCAATGCGCGCCATCCTCATAACACCAGAAACTTACGAGAAACAACTTCTGTACGCGAAAGGACCCCCTAACACAAAAGAAATCATCATTACCAGACCCCCTAAATCGAGGGACCAAATAGTCTCCCAGATCCCTTCCTTTTTTCTCGAAGAAACCGGCCCCAGTCCGTCAACACCGGGATCCACTCCCTCCACAACCCTCCGAACTTATTCGAAAAGCTTACCAAGGCACGATCAAAGAAGTCATCGGGGTACCCTCATTTCCACAATTCTACTTTTAAGGAGAATAAAAAGGGAAAAACCATACCTTCCACAGACGAGTAGGACTTAGCACGATGCAAGAAAGCCCCAATTACCGCCATCTTCTGTTGCCTGCTGGTAAAGGAGGCAAAGTCCTGGAGACTCTGAAATTTAATCTCACTGTCCACTTTTTCTCTCTGATTCTTCATCATTGGAAAACACAGTACTCCCTTCTTCCCATCGAAGATCTTCAGAACACAGCCCAGGAAATCCCAGCAACTATCGTCATTCGTCTTCTCCAAGAAGAGATTCTTATCATAACAACGACTGAAAGCATCAATGAGGCGCAGACCCTTGATCTGCGAATCACCATCTCCTCGTTTGCTTACCACGAAAACGGATACGTCGTCTACCAATCGTAGACCATGAAACAAAATACGGTCTGAACCGAGGCTTGAGATAAAAACAAACTCATTATACGCGCACAACAGACAAGCGAGAGCGGGGCTCGAAGACTTGCCCATAGGAATTCCATTTTTCTGCTGTAACAACCTTCCTGATGCCGACACAAAAGTGTGCCTTAGCTCGAATTCAACAAACTTCAAAACATGCAGGAATGACATCCGTTTCCAACCCATCTCCAATTTCCCAGTCGATAGCTTGGCATCCTTCCCTTGTTTACGGATTAAGACACCATCGAAGCCCCTCCTTTCCCAAAAGCCGATAACCCATCTCAGCGCCTCCAAGATAGAGTTATGAGGTAGGTTTGAGAACATTTCTTTAATATCGAAGGACACACCTATCAGCAAACTGTCTTTCGTCAACGACTTATTAATCCTCTTCAGCTCAGTCAACAGTCCATCAGCACTACGAAGGTTGAGGTTAGAGTCAGTGGGAAGTTGCCACAGCAAAGTGTTGACACAGCGTGAGATCACCCTACCCCCCGCAGCTGAACATTCCGAGTAAGACGGACAGATGGGTCTCCATCGCGAGACATCCTTGTGATTAGGTACACAATATGCTTTACCAAAACTGCCAGTTTTCTTCCATCGACCTACGCACTGTAAGTCCAGACTAGTATACTCCAACTCGCACACTCGAAGAAGAGAAGTTTCATTCGAAGAACGCAGTTGAAAAGAGGGGTTCCCAAAGAACAGTTTCTCCATACCCTTCTGATAGATCAGTGGGCAGCAAACAAATGTGTCGCCTGGGTTATGGTCGATTGGACAGCATACTAGACCTCAAAGAAGTTGAAGAAAGGGTCGCAGATCATCGGTACAAATAGTCGAACACGAAGAAGAAGAGGAGGAAGAAGAAGAAGAGGAAGCATGATAGGAGGACTCCAGGAAACAACTGTTGACCAAATCGTCAGTGATGAGTTGGTTTTTGTCATGTGGGAGAGAGGGATGAGAAGAGAAGGCAGATAGCAGTTCACGTCGCAGTTCATCAGTCGAACGAGCTCGAGACGGTCTTAAGACATTCCTCGAATTGCGCATCCAAGATGGGGACAGTGCAACCTCATCATTGACACGAAAGGATACATGTCCGTCAACACGCGGAAGCGATTGGTCAAGATCACCACAGGTGCAGACACCAGATCCCGATTTCGAGAAGGCCCGAAAATTATGTAAACAGTCACCAACGCTGCGATTCCTGCACCAAACTATACGCATGTGCTGACAAAGCATACTCTTCCAGGAAGATGGGATATCCAACGTGCCCACAATCCCAACACATACCTTATGAACCTTCGCTTTACAGATGCAATCATTGTACACAATACGCACAACCAAACGCTGTCTGACGTGTAACCCAAACCTTCCAAGAATATGATGAGACAAAATAAGACAAAGCCGAAATCTGGAACGTTTATCACTGAAGACACGGACCGCAGAATACGCAGCGATCAACTGGTCAAACTCCCATTGAACAAGCAACTTATGACTGGCTGGATTTGACAGGAATCCACGAAGCGGCTCCTTAAAAGCAGCAGATCTATTCAAGAAGGGAACAACGGAGTCAAGAACCAAGGTAAGACCTCCTTTAACCCATGCACGTGCATGCCGAAGCTCTCGTGTACCAAAAGCGCAGGAGACTAGACTTCCTCCAGATAATCGTTTTACCACCTTCCAACGATCAACCAGATGGTCCCCCCCAACACATTTCAAAACAACACCGGAGCGACCACGATTCTTACAATCATCCAAAATCTTAAGCAAACTAACCGTTTCTATACCCGTACTTGACAGAAAAGTGCATAACGATCCATGATAAGTCAACAAATTCGAGATCGTAGTCGCACCCTGATTCTTTGCCCGCCTTCTTCTCTCTCTCGCACCGGGTCGACATTTTCGAGGCCGGCGAGGCTTACCTCTAATGTTTAACGCGGGCGACAACAGACGGATAAAAAACTTCTCGGTTTCTAGCAAATCATCCACAGAACAGCGACACAATGGAACAATCACATACAAATGCGGACCAAACCGTCGAAGCCACCGATACAACTTTTCGTTGCGCCTCCCACCCTCAACAACTTTAGTTTCACACGTCCGATACACATGTTCCCGCCAACGAGAAGAGAGATCACGCGAAGTGCTTCCAACATATATATGTCTAGACCAGGGCGAAACTAGCGCATACACCAATGGACCTTCCCAACGATCAACATCCACGTCATGTGTAAGAGAGAAAGCACAACGCAAGAACTCACAAAGATAGTTTCCCCAAGGAACTTCACCAAGAAGAAAGAGACAGCAGACCGCTAAGGACAAGAACTGATTGATGACGGGATTACGGAGAAGATCTACCGATAAAGCACGAAAGGCACAGATAGATTTAATTATAGACCATAGAATAGCCGCGTTAGGGCGTGACCCTAAGAGGAGGCTGAGTCACGCCCGTCCATCTTGTCTGAGTCACCCCCCACATCTTCACTCACTTCAACGACCGAGTCAACCTTACCTTTACCCCGATCATCAATGTCAAATGCACGAGAAGTACGCTGCTGCGCGATTGCTTCCTTGGTAGGCTCCAAGGTGGAATAGGGGATTCCCTCCTTATCACAGATAGACAAAATCTCTTCCTTATTCTTCTTTCGCAGATCCTTCCGAACATCTCGTAAGAAGGCATCTCTGCTGTTGACTCGAACAGCTGGGCTTTCCATCGCCCTGTTCAAGGTCTTCCTGGCCGAAACAGCGTTAGCTTCCTCCGTAACACGTGCTGACTCCTTCCTTGTCGATGTGCCAGCAGCATCGTCTAGTTTAGACTTCAGATTAGTTCCTCTTGTTTTAACTCCTGTTCCTAACTTCGCCATCGCCTCCTTCAGTTTTTCAACCTCTTCTTCAGACTCCATACGAGCATTCACCTCACGAAGCCGCATCTCCTAAAGGCGTTCAACTTCCAACTGATGTCGCTCGACTATTCCTTTCAATTCCAAATTCACACGCCCTGTACCAGGGGACGTCACTCTTGCTCTCACCCTGGCGTCCGACACAGGAGTTGCTCCAATAACGACACTCCCCCGCTTGTTACCTGGCCGGAGCGCTTCCAGCCTCCAAACCTATGCATTCGTCTTCGCGGCTTCGCACTGTCTTTGCAGGGCAACAATAACTTCTTCAAGAGAGGAAAACCTTCGTTCGCTCGCAGCCTTTGCTTCGGCCTGCTCGAGCTGTAATCTAGACAGCTCCTCTGCTTCCTTGGAAGTCGTTGCAGAGATACTAGCGCCATGATGACTGCGGCGAAGACTTTCGACCTCTGCCTTGAGACGCGCAATCTCTTCTTGGGAGTTGTCCTTCAGCCTTTCCGAGCCGTTCTGCTGACGGACGAGGGATTCAACCTGAGCCCTCAATTTCGCTATTTCTTCGTTGTCAGTGACCTTCTTCCCATTGACCGCTTCGCACACCTTGTCCAGTTTTCCCGTCATCTCCCTGTGCAGCTCCTTATGGAGCTCTTCTCGCTCCTTTCGATCCTTCATACGTCGTTCTTCAGCGTCACGTTTCTTCCGTTCTTCTTCTTCGCGACGAGCCCGTTCCTTCGCCTCCTCGGCTTCATGCTTACCATTTATCTTACTGACAATTTCCTCTAGAGTGCTAACCCTACGACCAAGTCCACTACCGCCGCCATTATATTGACCGGAATAATAAGGGACAGCGGTGCCGACGTTTGTAGCAGGAGGGACAGTTAAAAGAGGCTGAGCCGGGACTATAGCATTAGACACCTGTGACCCATTTAGACGACGATCAGGCAGCGGACAGTATCTAGAGATATGCCCAGGTTGGCCACAATTATAGCAATTGCGAACACCTTGTACATTAGCATTGCCAACAGACGCCATGGCGCGACGAAGTCACACAACAATAGTACGATCTCTATGTCGATTCCTCCGTGAATTAAAGTATACGTTTGACTCGAAGTCAACAGTACTTGAGGTCAATGCAAWGACAGAGTGATCACCAAGCATATCAGACAGGGGATGCAGCACACAGAAAAATGACGAAGAAGACGACGCAAACGACTCAAGCATAGAGAAGTTGACAACAGGACGACACACAACACTAACACCGGTAGGGGAGAGGTTTTGTTTAAAAAAAAAAAAAAAAAAAAAAAAAAGGAGAGAGAAGGACAAAAGGCAGTATTCCCGAACGCGACTGGTTTTAGAAAAAATAAGAGTGAAACACAACAATGGAAACAAAGTTCCCATACGGCGTTGAGACCCGACCGGTTTTCTTTTTTTTTTGGATGTTACTGTTTTCTTTTTTTTCTTGCTCGTGTGTCTCTTATAAGTCCCCTGGGTAAGGCCGTCACTTTTTTTTTTTTTTTTTTTTGAGAAGTTGCCACTTTATATTCCAAAAACAGTGGCTGAGGCCGGGGACCTCACAATTCAACCCGGAGTCACCAAGAACTTTGCTGGAAACCGGGTCCAGCGTCCCAGGACCCCTCTACTCTCAACAAAAATAAAACTTCTCAAAACCGATCTTGAAGCTGAACTAGAGATTTTTTTTAAATAAAAAAGAAAAAAAAAGAAAAAAAAAAAGAAAAAAAACAAAGAAAAAAAAAAAGGTGGCCGAACTAAGAAAGATGCATCTACTCAAATCCTTGAAGCTCAAAAGCTGGCCGAACTAAGAAAGATATAACTACTCAACTCCTTCAGCCTGTGAATATCCAAAACCATTTTGAACATCCTTCCTGCTCACAGCCCTGGGCTAAACTCAAAGATGAACGACCTTTGCCCATTCCGTTGAACGTTAACCCAAACACGTTTGCAGTCCAAAGGAAAGGCCGTCACATTCTGGATGTTACTGTTTTCTTTTTTTTCTTGCTCGTGTGTTTCTTATAGGTCCCCTGCCAATGAGGCAGGGGGGAATCCGTGAGGCGCAGCTACTGGCAGGTCTTGGTCTTTGTGTTAGCCAGACCCCCACTGGCGGCCCCAACCCTATAGGGCCTAAACATTAGGCGCAAGGGGCAACATGAAATCTCCCCTTCACAGTGAGAGGAAACTATGCTTGCAGGGGTCCCCTCTAGATAGCCTTAGGAGTAGGTAGTGAAAGGCAAAAACAGAAGTTGAGAGAAGAATATAGAAAATAAAAAATAAAAAAATATGTGAATTGCTCAAGCCGTCCGTGATCTGCTCAAGCTGTGTTTTGTTAGAGGATTGTAACACTCATCACACTGGTACTAAAGGGAATGTATCCAGCCATTTTGACGGCCTGATCCGTGTGCCCGTTTTTCTCCCCCTCTATTCTCTTTTTCCAATCTGACAACCTGGCCAGGGGGCTGAGAAGCGCTCACTGAGGGCACACTCACACTACCACTTCCAAGAATGTATACAACTGCAATCACGGCCAAAGCTTTGTTTCGTTTTTTTTTTTTCTTTTCTTTTTTTCTGAGTTCACGGTCGCGACTTTTTGGTTCTTTCCGTGAGAGTACCAGAAAGAAAACGGAGTGGTACCCAGGCTCGGCAAACTTGGAGTGCAGTGAAATTCAGGGTCGGCAAAAACAGGCTCGGAGGTACTAGTGGTTTAAATTTGGACCATTTCTCGATTGATGCGTGTCATCCTTGGAAGCGCAGGGGCCATGCTAATCTTCTTTCTCTGTATCGTTCCAATTTTAACGGATGTCCTTCGAAGGACCTGACCTGCATTTCGGCTTTCTCTGTACCTTTATCAGCCGCTGGCCCAGGTAATCACCCTCCGGCCTCAGGGCCTAACTTCTTACCCTCTCCCCAGCGGAATACAATGCATGCTGGTCATGAATGTATATAAACTGTCTTGCTGACTCGTGTTCGATGGAAGATGATAATGCTCCGCCTTGCCTGGGCCTAGTACTGGTGAATCTGGCGGGAAAATGATGGTGCTGGATCGGAGTCTGCTAAGGGCCTCGTTCCACACCACTCCAGGGGCAAGGTCCCACTTGCGCAAATAAGGAGATTTGGGCCGTTGATCCTGGCTATCAACGGTCAGTATCTCTGAATTCGTGCAAGTGGGACCTAGCCCCAGTTTAGAAATACTCGAGAAATTCACCGTTCCACACTGCACTGCACTTGACTTTCACTTTCCCTAATCGTGATTAGGCTTCCCGCCTCTCCGGACGCCCGCCAATAACGTCAAGTGCCGCTCAAGTGCGGCCCAGGCGAATAGGTGAATTTTTCAAGTCACCTCTCTGGCCACACTCGAGCCGCACTTCAAAACGGCGCAAGTGAGAGTCAGGAGGCGGTTGCAGGTGCTGTACGCCCCCCCCCCTGTCGGTTTTTTGTTTTTTTGGCTTTTTTGCGCTGGTGTAGTCGACTCCCCCTTTCCCTTGCGCCAACCGCCGCCACTTTCCCGCTTCAGTTTTGGAGTGTGGAGTGGAGGGTAATGTCGAACTGTGACAGACTCAAGTAATCTTTAATGATGATTGCCCTGTGAGGCGGCTCAAGTGCGGCCCTTGAAAGTCAAGTGAAGTGAAGTGGTGTGGGACGAGGCCCTAAGTCCAGGCAGACTTGGATGTCTATTGCCGCCGTTCACATGTCTGGACACGTCCGATGTGGACAGGATATTGCCCACGCAGGCACTGGTACAGTCGTCCTGTGAACTTGCCGGGAAACCCTTATCCTGCCCACACCGAACCTACCGTCTTCACCCAAATAGGATGCCCGGTCATTATAGCTGCATTTGGCACAACTTTCAGTCCAGATGCGGCGACAATTACCAGGCGTTCTATTCGGGTGAAGACGGTAGTGGCTTATCCCGGCACAAAAAAAAAGGAGTCACGAGTTGGGTGGCCCAAAACTTACATCTTTGTCCGCTGGAGGAAATTTTGACCCCTCTGTTACTCGGACTGGCACATGGGTGGGTTCAACCAGGTCATTCGACGCCTCAAAGCTTCTGAATTGCACCCAGGAAGACGGGAACACCTCAAAGACGGGAACGTGTGGATTGCTCACATCAGACTCACAATGTACAGCTTTGGAATCGGGAGGCTGAGGTTCAGCGCATTATTATATCTGTTCCAACGAAGGAAAAATTGTGTCCCCTGCTATGCCTCGTCCTGTGTACCTTTGCCTTCTTCCTCCAAGCCAGCCACGAACTATCCCTTAGATCCTTAGCCCCCTCATGCCCCTTGCTGCTTCTTCTTCTGCTGCTGCTTCTTTTGAGTTTGCTTGTGCCTCCTTACCTTGCATCAAGAACTCTTATCACTCACCCTTGTTATCCCGCTTATCACTTCTCCAATGCCCCCATCCCCAACCCCCGAAAAAGAAAAAGTCCGCTCTCCCACGTTGTTCTTGCTGTTGTTGTTGTTGTTGTTGTTGTTGTTGTCGTCGTTGTTGTTGTCCATGTTGTTGATGTTGTTGTTGTTGTCGTTGTCGTCATCCCTGTTGTTGTTGTCGTCGTTGCTTTTGTTGGTGTTGTTGTTGTTGAGGCTCTGATACATTGTTGCCTGCTTGGATGAGCTGTGCAGCTCGTGGTTCCCATGGGAACAGAAAGCGACAGTTGAGGGGCCATTTGAATCCTAAGGGAGAGGATTGTGCTGTGGGATGGGCGTGCTAGATCCAAAGTGGCATCGAGAGGTTGACAGATATATTGGTGCGATTGTCAGCACGAAGGCACTACATTTTCGTGGTGGTGGTGGGCTTTTGCATGGGTGGTGAAGGACTTAGCGATAGAGAGGGGCACTGGGTGCCAGTTTCGCTTCGTGCCAAGGGAGATGGCAGAGATAAAAAAAAAGATAAAAGGAAAAGAAAATAAAAATTAGTGAGTGAACAAGCATGTTTTCGACACCACAATCTTTGGCGATTTTTTATTGCTTTTTGGCGCAGCCAAATGCCCTAAAAATTTACAGATGTATACTTCACATAATACAAACTCATTAAAAATTTTTCAAAAGATAATAATTTTTTTTACGCCCCGCAATAAAGTGAAAGCAAAAAGTAAAAAGTGAAAAAAAACAAAATTGTGAGTGGGCGAGCACGTTTTGGCATTGCCATCTTTGTGATTTTTAATTGTTGTTTGGCTTAGCAAAATGACTTCAAAATTTATAGGTACGCACCTCACATCATAGAGAACTCACGAAACAAAATTAAGAAAAAAAAAAAATATTTTTAGGCCCCGAAATAATTTTTGGCGGGGGCCGAATGCCGTCGGGTTCGGACCCGAACGGGACCCCGAATACCCATACGTACGGAGGTCGGCCCGGGGACCTCCATACATACGGGCTGGTGACCTTATATATATATATATATATCGTCAAACAAAGTATATATATATCCTTTCTTCGTCTTCTTATTCTTCTTCTTCTTCTCCGTCTTCTTCTTCATTTGCCTCCTCTAGTTTGTCTTCCTTTTCCCCACGCTGGGTAAGATCGACCCCTCCTTTATCTTTGTTGTCTATATTGGGAGGTCGGCAGGTTCGTTCATTGTCTCCTCCTCCCAGTCCTCCTTCCTCTCGACGTCATGTTGATGCTAATCTGCGGGGTTCTTTGTCTTACCGACAGCCTGCTCTGCCACGTCAAAGGCGTTCGCCATTCGTGCGCCGACCTCGCCAGATCAGACCTGGTTTTCCAGTGGTGACCGATTCGGATCTGCGGGCAGATCTACCAAATGCTTGTGGCTCGACAACCACTAATGTCTGCCTACAGGCTTATCAGCGTCAATGTTATACTGCATCTCAATTTGTTACGATTGCTGATCAACTTGACGCTGTTAAAAATCAGTTGTTGTATGACCATAATGACCCGCCTCCTGAAGGTAGTAACTACACTACCTCTGGAGGCTTTACTGTAAATGTCTTACAGTTAGCGTTCCACGGTCACACCCTTCTTATGCATCATGCGACGCCAGGCGATGACCTTAATGACCATCCTCATATTTTTGCCTGCATTTTGCACAGACCCGAACATTATA